TACCGCTGGAATTTCGAGGATGCCATCAATTGTTTTGCGTTCAAACCAATGTTCTTGTTTACAACGTGTGACATGGTCAAAAAATAAAGTGTTAACATTGGCAACAATATTCGGCTTTAAATCTGTTTAAAGTTCTTCCAAATTATAGATAAAATGTGAAATTGTATTAATTTATCACTGGAACAAATAAAAAAAATGGGCTAGGGCACAGATTTTGAATTAGAGCCTGAGAATGGTTTAATGCTGAGACCATAGAAAACTCGGGATAGATTTTCCATTCTCTGTGCTATTCAATGAAATTGATTTACTCAGGAACAGAGCTAACATGTACATGTATGTTGTACTCAATTATTTTTCTTGTACTTATAGAATTACGTAGTATTAAAACATGTTGAGCAGTCAATGACAAAGACAATAACTGCCACGTAAATAACGAAAATCTAGGCAAATATTTACGAAACCGTTCTTGCGCTTAAGTATGGATTCAGTACTCAAACTGACTTTCTTGTAACTCGCTTAAATCGTGTAACACATGTATATAGTCCCAAATTCTTCCAATCCGTGGATATTTTCATTGATTTAAAGCAGAAACAAGAAGTTTGGCTTGAGCACAGAATATATGAGAGAACGGTTTCATGAATACGAACCCTAGGTCTGGGCCCATTTTCATGAAACCGTTCTCATGCTCAAGAATGCATTTTGTGCTCAATACTTATTCTTGTTCTCCAGTTATAATTAATGATATTTTAATATCTTTTGTCAATTTTGTCTATAAATAAGCAAAACATACTGAAAGTACTTAAATCCGACAACTGTATTCAATGTTTACATATGACTTTTTGATCGTTTGACATGATTTCAGCGAGTGACAAGTTGGTTTGAGGACAAAATCCATCTGTGACCATGAGAAGGGTTTCATGAATACGGACCCTGTCCTATTCAACTCCTACATTATATGGACATATAACACTTCTCTACTGTATGTTTTATATACATGATATAAATCTCTGATGGACTCACCTATATACAAAACATGTCGGATCATCAGGTAAACACGATAAGTACCCTCGAACAGAAATAACGAAAAGAGACCGAATAATCACCGGAAGTACTTCCACAGAAAGCTATCCACAGTTCCGAGGTAGCATGCATAATATTCCGACCATACGATCTGATAGATGATTATTCTATCACTAATTCATTGTATTAATGATCTTTCGAAGTATATCTAAAAGACATAATAACAACCCATTATTTTGCGTGGCTCAAGGTAAAATCACTTCGGGATTCAGGTATGACGCTGACGAAACTCAGTGCATTAGCTATATTTAGTCTGATTGGATAGTTTCCAATCCAGTGTCAACTGGTTGTTTGATATATGTTTATAACATAGTATGTGCCAATATAAAGTAAGTAACTGTATCTAGACGTGAAATAGGACGTATATATCATAGGCGCTGAAAAATAATACGGCGACCTCCATAACATTGGTCTTAAAGCAGTTTTAGCGTGGTAGGAGTACCGACTTCATAATCATATCAGTGACACAGTGAAGACTTATCATTGATACAAGACACTTAGTTTTCACTTGTCCTTGTAAAGTGTGATCTTCTTTGTGGGTTTATATCTTTAAGTAACCTGAAAAAAATGTCAGGAATCATGACCATAATTTTAAATCGATGATAAGTCATATTTAAAGAACCCTAATGAGGCACATGGATCGAAAGTTATAATTCGAATATATTGAACTCGTGCTAGTTATCAAAATGACATATATCTTAATAAGAAGAGTCTACAATGTGGTCTTGAATTGATGTTGTTTTTTTTGAAAAATAGTCATAGACAGTATAACGTATCTCTTATGTTACCAAACTCAATGCTATGGAACGACACATCTTCTGAACCTATTTAAATTAGGCCTATATGTAAAATTTGACAACCTCATATTTTCTACAGTTAGTTAGAATTACTTCATTTTCCTAATATATATATCATAACAATTATAACAATGAACATAACAATTTACAAGGAAAACTTTGTTTCTCATATTAATGATATATTAATTATATATACATATCTAGGTTATACAGACCGGAGTTACTAGCTGTGGAGAAACATACGGGATAAAAAGCGCCATCAAGTTAAAACATATACCAACATTTGTACCAGTATGAAATATCTGTTAAAGCCATGTAACTACAGATGCATTAAATTGTTATTTCTTTATTTTCTCTAGTTTGAAAAGTTATAAGAACATATACAAGTTAATTAATTGTCAATTCATAAGTAAATAGACTAACGTTTAAAACAATATGAAACATATCAAGGCATTGTTTGTCTTGCGATACATTTTATAAAATGTTTGATGATTGAGATTTGAGTATTCGATAAAAAAAATATATATAGAAATCCATGAGGACAAACTCGGGCCTTGTCTACTGTCCGGACCAGACACACTTCGTGCAAGAACAGTTATGGATGATACTTAAAAGGGAGGTAATCTAAGTCGAAAACAACACGAAGTGGAACTATAACTGATAAACTGGTATCGTTTACTTATCATAAACCAAGCTAGATTTGATATTTGTCATTTTAAATGACAAACTTCAATTTCAACCCATCTAAATCTTCTATCTGAATTCCTATGATAGATTTGACTTATCAAGGGGTTAAAAATGATAACTATACTATCTTTTAAAAGGCCTGTAGGACATTTAAATTTGTTTCAAGTAACCAGTGCAGTTATGGAAAATGGAGTTAAAGCTGAAACGTCAATACAAACGACACGAAGGCGACATGCTGGAAATGTTAAAAAAAATCGAACCCCAAGAAGTTCCACAAACTATTTAAAAGCAAATCAAGCCAATGGGCAAATTCAAGTTTATCAAACGAAGATTTCTATACTTATTTTAAAAATCTAACAATGAGTAATAATAGTGATGTAGATGACAGCGAACCTAATATCGACGAGGCCATCTACGATGAATTAGACAAAGATTTTGATAAAGATGAAATATCAAAAGTCATAAACAATCTAAAAAACAACAAAAGTTGCAGTGAGGACTTAATAATCAATGACATTTTTATTAAAGGAAAAGATATTTTGTTGCCTTGTATGGAAAAATTGTTCAATGTGATTTTTAAGTCTGGGCATGGTGCAAAGCTTGTATTGTTTCAATTCACAAAATGGGCAACTTAAATGACACCAACAATTATCGTGGCATTTCCTTAGTTGTTTTGGAAAAGTTTTTACGGGCGTTTTAAATACCAGAATATTAAATTGGGAAAAAAGTATGGTATTCTAACTGACGCACAGTTTGGTTTCAGACCTGGAATGTCAACCACTGACGCCATTATTGTTTTAACAACCCTTATAAATAAGTCCCTAAAACAGAAAAAGCGTTTGTACTGCTGTTTTGTAGACTTTTGATTTTGTTAATAGTAGCAAGTTATGGTGTAAAATGATCAATTGTGGTATCAGAGGTAAGTTCCTTCAAATTTTGATTGACCTATATAATAATGTTAAATCATGTGTAAAGTATAATGGAGTCCTAAGTGATAGTTTTTGCAACAAGATTGGACTTTTACAGGGCGAAGTACTGTCACCAGTTTTATTTTCCTTATATGTTAATGATTTTGAGATCAATTTCATAAAAGACAATTGTCCAAGTGTAGAACTGCAACTTATAAACCTATTTTTGATCATGTATGCAGATGACATGGTGCTGCTATCAGAAACACCAGAAGGTCTCCCATCTATATGCTGGACTCCCTACAGGATTATTGTAACACATGGGATCTGGTAGTCAACATATCTAAAACCAAAATATTTGTTTTTAGAAATGGTAGTAACTTACGAAATAATGAAACGTGGTCTTATAAAGATACAAACATTGATATCGTGGATGAATTCAAATATCTAGGTATGCTTTTTCATTATAATGGAAAATTTCTTAAAACTCAGAAGCATGTGGCTGATCAACGAAGAAAGGCACTGTTCGCCTTAGCATCTTCGTTACGCAATTATTGTATTAATATTGAAACTCAGTGTACTATTTTTGACTCTTAAGTAAAAGTATTTTGTGTTATGCCTCAGAAATCTGGGGATTTCACAAAGCACCTGATGTAAATAGAGTTCATTTAAATTTTTGTAAAAAAAATCTGGGAGTCAGACAATGCACTAATAATGATCTGGTTTATTGTGAACTTGGTAGATACCCCCATATAGTCCAAAGGAAACTGAAGATTTTTAAATACTGGTTAAAAGTGAAATATAGCGATAACTGTATATTAAAAGCTTGCTATGACGAGCGTATAAGTGGTAATGATGACTGGTTAATTAATATTAGGCAAGAATTAGCTAGTATGGGTTTGGAGTATATCTTTGAGGAAAACTTACCTATTAATATTGCGGCAAAGATTATAGAACAAAGATTGCTCGATGTTTCACGACAAAGTATGTTAACAAATATTTCAAATTCTTCAAAGGGGTATTTATATCAACACCTGATAGACAATGTCGACTTACAGTTTTATTTGCGTAAGCCAATCCAATCAAAATTCCAGCGTCAAATTACTCGCTATAGACTGTCCTCTCACAGTTTAAATATTGAGGTCGGGAGGCGGAATAATATAAACCGTCATAATCGACTGTGTACTAGATGTAATTTAGGCGACATTGAAGATGAGTTTCATTTTATTCTCAAATGTCCATTTTATGAAAATTTAATGTTAAAGTACATAAAGAAATATTATCGTTTAAGTCCGAGTGTGTTTAAGCTAACTCAACTATTAAGTACAAATAGTGTAAAGGAACTTTTTAATCTTGGAAAATATTTACATTTGGCAACAAGTGTACGTAAAGAGTCACTCTCCTCTTAACATATGTCCATATGTTATTCCGTATTGTATTGTATAACATGTTGTACTTATCTTGTAATATATGTATTATACTCACGAGTCAGTTGACTCGAGGTTAATAAAATAATAATCGAGCTTTTTGTGATGTTTACTTTAAAACCAGTGTTCGTGAAATATTGCATGAAATGTATACGAGGCTCGCCGTACACCTGTGTAGTGAGTACGAACAGTGTGTTATCTTTGCTGTTCAGCACACACGCCCCACACCAGTGCATACGTCACTATACCTGTGTGTTGATGTCGTTATCTGTGGACGGTTATAATACTGGGGTAGCCATGATGGAGGACGAGTCCCTGTACCTGGCCTGTATACCCGTCGTATAGCGCATACCTGACCGGACGATTGACGTATCTGGACGGACGATGGACCTGCCTGGACGGACGATGGCCCTACCTGGCCGGATACTAAGCGGATGTTTACCTGTACTTGTTCTACAGTTGTGTTTACTGTGGGGTTTGTATTTACTACATTGATCTTTACCTTCGGTATACAAACAGTAACAGGAATGTACGTAGGCCTAAAACTCTCAACAACATTTTCACGGGGATCTTAGTTTATAGAAAAAGACAGTAAGCAGTAAGATAAAACTCAATGTGTCAAACTAGGTCGTTTAAGACTACGAGATACCCGTGTGTGAGTGTAGGTGTACACTCCTTCAGTTCTGGTAAACCACACGTCGTGAACAGTATGTGTATATATGTACAGGAAACGTGGTAATTAATTATTTATAGTAGGGATATAAAGCCAATTGTAGCTTTTTTCTGGGATATGTCACTAAGCACGCCCAGGAGCACAGATTTCTAACAAATATATGATGTGTATGTACACACATATATATATATATAGTAATAAAAATGTAATGACAATAGAGTATATATACATATATGCTTTTGTGTGTCGCCCACCACTGGGACCGAAGCATTTCTAAGTATGTATTTTTGGACCAATCCTGATGTGTAAAGATTAATATTAGATCTGTTGAACGTTTAAAAATGCCGCTCTCTCAATGACGATCTTTTATAGCATCAGTTGTGTGTAGGGGGGCGAGTATTTTTAACAAGTGTTGATCGAAACCTAAATCTTGAAATTATGACCATTATTAGACAAGGAAATTTTAAACCCTGGGCTTCATATATTTTTTTCATTGGGGGGCGGGGGGGGGGGGGGGGAAACAAAAATTACCATTCACTGTTAGTCAGACCATATGTATTTTTTCTGTTATATTTTCAGTTCTTTTAGAAATACGGTCGCTCGCTCGGGTTACCTATAACATACGTTTTTCTTGCCTAAACGACACAGCTGCTTGTAGTGGTCGTGTTCCCCTTTACGTAGCATAGGCTGTATGTAGTGGTCGTGTTCCCCTTTACGTAGTATAGGCTGTATGTTGTGGTCGTGTTCCCCTTTACGTAGTATAGGCTGTATGTTGTGGTCAGGTTCCCCTTTACGTAGTATAGGCTTATGTTGTGGTCGTGTTCCCCTTTACCTAGTATAGGCTGTATGTTGTGGTCGTGTTCCCCTTTACGTAGTATAGGCGGTATGTTGTGGTCGTGTTCCCCTTTACGTAGTATAGGCGGTATGTTGTGGTCGTGTTCCCCTTTACGTAGGATAGGCTGTATGTTGTGGTCGTGTTCCCCTTTACGTAGTATAGGCTGTGTGTTGTGGTCGAGTTCCCCTTTACCTAGTATAGGCTGTATGTTGTGGTCGTGTTCCCCTTTACGTAGTATAGGCTGCATGCTGGTAACAACAGACCGAGCGTTATTGATCGTATGTTAGTATAGTTCCTACACAGGTAGTGTTAATTATCGCTATCGACCACAAAACATATGTGCCCGTCAGCTACCAGGACGTATACGTCTAAATAGTTTCACGTACATTAAGTGAGTCACTCAACAAACCAATTGTATTGTTTGTCGACAACTTCTTCAAAGATTTGATTGGGATGGGCATTTTCAGTTATTATCACGTGTGGCAGTGTAATCATCGACAGTGTCAACCGGGTGTTACCGGATAAAACAAATCGCTAGTGTCACCAGATTACACTAATCAGTAGTGTCACTAGATTACACTAATCGTTAGTGTCACCAGATTACACTAATCAGTAGTGGTACTAGATTACACTAATCATTAGTGTCACTAGATGACAACAATCAGTAGTGTCACCAGATTACAACAGTCAGTAGTGTCACTAGATTACACTAATCAGTAGTGTCACTAGATTACACTAATCAGTACTGTCACCAGATTACACTAATCACTGGTGTCACCAGATTACACTAGTCACTAGTGTCACTATATTACACTAATCAGTACTGTCACTAGATTACAGCAGTCAGTGGTGTCACTAGATTACACTAGTCAGTAGTGTCACCAAATTACACTAATCAGTCCTTTCACTAGATTACAACAGTCAGTAGTGTCACCAGATTACACTAATTAGTAGTGTCACTAGATTACACTAATCAGTAGTGTCACTATATTACACTAATCAGTAGTGTCACTAGATTACACTAGTCAGTAGTGTCACCAAATTACACTAGTCACTAGTGTCACCAGATAACACTAATCACTAGTGTCACTAGATTACACTAATCAGTAGGGTCACCAAATTACACTAGTCAGTCCTTTCACTATATTACACTAATCAGTAGTGTCACTAGATTACACTAATCAGTAGTGTCACCAGATTACACTAGTCACTAGTGTCACCAGATAACACTAATAACTAGTGTCACTAGATTACACTAATCAGTAGGGTCACCAAATTACACTAGTCAGTCCTTTCACTAGATTACACTAATTAGTAGTGTCACTAGATTACACTAATCACTAGTGTCACCAGACTACACTTATAAGTAGTGTCACAAGATAACACTAATAAGTACTGTCACTAGATTACACTAATCACTAGTGTCACCAGATTACAACAATCAGTAGTGTCACCAGATTACAATAATCACTTGTGTCACCAGACTACACTTATAAGAAGTGTCACAAGATAACACTAATAAGTACTGTCACTAGATTACACTAATCACTAGTGTCACTAGATTACACTAATCAGTAGTGTCACCAGATAACACTAATAAGTCGTGTCACTAGATTACACTAATCACTAGTGTCACTAGATTACACTAATAAGTAGTGTCACCAGATTACATTTATCGCTAGAGTAACCAGATTACACTAAATGTGTCACCAGATTACACTTACACTGTCGCCACGTAAGAGTTAACGGTTTGCAATAATTATTATTTTTGGCATCACTCGCAGCTGTTACAATATAAAAAAAGGTGATTGGAAAGGGGCCTGAGCTATCACCTGCTTCCAGTGATAAGGGCTAATTTGTTTTAGTCCAGGGTCGGGGAAGCTGAGAGTATTTCATGTTATCATTGTTTGTAGCATTATATTGTAGTCACAAAAAATCAATAGGTAAATAAAAAATATATATAGCTAAAGTGTTTTTTGTATGAATGATATTTTACAATTGATTCAATAAAATTGATAAATTAAAATTAAATTAAACAACTATAACCTGTCAGTTTGTATATTATCTTGAAATATCAAATTTCAATCTAAAGATATCACCGTCAGTATCATTTTTTTGTTTAAATTGCATAGTTTTCCTCGGGAGGCAACTGGGCCACCCTCATTCCCATCCCCATCCCCCATCCCCTATCCCCTATCCCCAACCTCTCCTCCCCCTACATGTTCAGTCTACATATAATATTTGTACTGTTGACAGGCCTGGTTTTTTTTTGTACTTTATGTATTGTCAGGTCCGGGGGTCGAGGCGGAGTGCATGTTCCGCATATACTATTATATGATTTGTACCGTTGGCGGGCCCGGGGATGAAGGTTGAGTGTAAAGTACGTCTAAACTATAATATTATTTTTACGTTATGCGTTAACAGGCCCCGGGGTCGAGGCCGAGTGCATGTTCTGCCTATACTGTTACTAGTATATATATATATATATGATTTGTACCGTTGGCAGGCCCGGGGGTTGAGGCAGAGTGTATGTTCCGCCTATACTATCATATTATTTGTACTTCATGCGTTGGCAGGCCCTGGGGTCGAGGCGGAATGCATGGTTCGCGTGTATTACAATCTCAGCTCTCCGACACCCAGTTATGTGGAGCAGACTTGTGCCGTAGCCTGCTGTGGTCACTACCCAAATGTGTATTGCTGCGACCAATGTGATTCAACGTTCCGGAACGCGGACGGACAACTGTAAGTACTACCGACCAACATCTGTCAGCAGAGTGTACGGACGAACGATGTTGGTACCCATATACCTAAGTTCAATGTCTCCGGATAAAACTTATCTGACTCTTTTTTTTCTGTACAAATTACCAATATTTTTCTCTAAATTGTTAAAAAAAACACCTTCGTGTGAACGCTTGCTTGAATGTTCGTCCCTCTTTTATCTTCACTTGGTAGTCCTTGGGATTTAATATCAGGTTCTGAAAACCTACAAATAATAAAACTGAAAAATTGTAATTTGCCAATATCGGGGTTACTAAGTGTTATATTCCTTGTTAACGGGATCTGCGCAGGTTTCTGTCGTGCAGTTCGCAATGTATTCAAGATTTCTTTAAGCTCGATATTTATTTGCATATTGCATACACTTAGAAGAGAAATAATCGACATGAATTTAAAATTCATTGTTTGCTACGCATTCTCTCTGTAGAGGTTTACAAAACTATAGAGATAGGTGGTGTACGTCATCTTCATCGAAGCACCTGGTGTTATATGATGGCGGTATACGTTTGTTTGGTTGCAGAGGTAGTGGTGCCGTGACCGGGATTGTACTCGGCGTCCTCATTGGACTCGTTACGTTGTTTGTAATATTTGTGTACGTATACGGACGATGGAGACGGGACAAGGATCCCGTGGGTCGGGCCATGTACCGTCTGTACAGGATGTCCACCAGTAAGTTATTATATCATTGCGTGATACCCACACAAGTGATCCTCAAATACAACGAAACAGCGACATCTCAACACACGTCTGACGCCGTTTTCATTCATGCGCTGGTCAACTTATCCGAAATTATGTAGAAATAAAACGGCAACAAACATCCGAAATGGAGTTACTTCCCCTTTGACCGTGAATGATGTAAAACATAGCTTTGACAAGCATACATATACATAAAAGTAGTGCTTTCTGTTGTCTTATGGTTTATAGTTTAAAGTATATATACTATTTCTGAAAATGTTACAGTTATATTTCTCAGAGCTCGGGAATACGACCTCTGTGACCTGGTTGTGGAGTTTAAGTAATGCATTTAGTAGATTACTTGTGAGTATTAACTAGCCGGCACACCACAGGCAACATCAATATATCTACAATGTATAATGGATATCCAGTTGACATCAGGGCCCGTATTCATGGATTCGTTCTCATGCTCAAGCATGGATTTTGTGTTCAAAACAACTTTCTTGTAACTCACTTAAATCATGTCAAACGATCAAAAAGTCAAATATGAATACCGAAAACAGTATTTGGCTTAAATTTTCTTCAATTTCTTTTCCAATAATTGACAAAATAAAACGTCATTACTTATTTACAAACGGAACAATAAATTCGGCTTGAGCACAAAATCTATGCTTGAGCATGAGAAGGGTTTCTAACAACGGGCCCAGTATTTTGTAAATGTTATAACATGCCAATAATTCGCCTTCATTCTTCTCCAGGACGCCGTCGTCGCCCCAAACCCCAGGCGGGACAAAACGGTCAGACTTCTAATGACGGTCCCTCCACCATTACAATGTCAAACGGAGGAACACAAAATCGAGGATTCAGCGAGGGGCCGGGGAGCAACCCCCGGTCCAGACGCCGCAGCCCAGGGACTGCGGAAACACCTATGCACAAGGAGCAATTGGCCAAACCTCCGAGACCTGGTCAGCGTGATCCTAGAAAGACCGGCAGCGCTCCTGCCCATTCAGTAGAGGGCCCAGTAAAAGCGGATCAGACATCCAAGTATGGACAACTCAATCCTCCCCAAGTTCAAAGTTACCAAGGGCAACGCTCCACAGTCGAACTGACCGCTCCTCCAGCAATTGAATTAGATAGTCGTAAACTGGAAAAACAGTCTTATAACAATTACAGTAATCTTCCTATTGATGGAAACGCTCAAAGACATGAACCAGAAAAAAGGCAAAACATTCATCAACATAAAACCCATTCTGACGAAATAAAACCGTACTCAGGTCATAGTGATAAACCATATCAGGCCTTAGGTAAACGACAAGATGAGCACCCTTATACAGTTCCCAAAGGTCTCAACGCACGTGACAGATACAATATGCCTAGGGACAATGGGGAGAAACAAAAACTCAACTCAGAATCGAGGCTAGGTCCACCATCCCGACCCCACCAACACAATGGGGAGAACAAAACGTCCTATTCTCCAGACGGACGTGCGCTACATCCCCCTGATAGAAATGCTTCATATCAACCTGACAGTCAGACACCACATCACCCAAACAGAGATATGTCACAGCCCCTTCATCCGTCTGACAGAAATACCTCATATCCATCCGATAGACATACATCACATCCGCCTGACAAGCAAACATCACACCCAGTTGGGAAAACAAACAGAGATACGTCAAACTGGAGAGATCCTCCTCCTTCTTACCCCTCAAAAAACGAGGGCAGGGGCGGCCCGGGATATGCACCTTACTCCTCTACTCCAGGGAGGGGCGCCCCTTCCCGGCAGCCGGAGTATAAAGATACACCAATCAGACAAGGGGAACGTGATTATCGCCAAAAGAATGATAATCGTGGCGTGTATTTAGGTAATCCTGACGGTTCAAGACAGTCGCAGATATGAGGTGTCTACGGCATCGTAGAGAACAAATCTGTAAAATAGCGATCCCCGCAAAACGTCTCTGTGTAGGGTTCCACACAAACTGGCGTCGATCGCCAGACGTCACTCTTGTGCTGACAGCACGTGCCATATCGGAGAAGTGTATGTTGTGTTTGTTGGCGGATCATTCCGTTACGTTTTAGGACGGCTAGACGGACACCTAGTGTGTGTCACTTATCATCTCTGGTTGGACGGAGTGCAGGCTAACAGCCAACTTATCTCTAAGGTTGACTGTGAGTTGTAGAAGGAGTCGAAAGGACGTAAAAACAACATTGACATTTTAAAGAATCAATCAATCAATCAAATCGTGTATTCCTCTGTTAAGAGATTAACAAAAGGAAAGAGTTATTTACATCAAATTAATTTGAACGTGATGAGTCTATACCATTATTTTGATACAGTTCTTCCTCGAATGCATGAGTAAATTAATTTTACTTTTGTTGGCACACTGGTACAGTATATATTAAAAGTCAAGGTGGATTATCATTTGATAAGAACACATGAGCAGCACTTCTGATAAATTTGGCACTGTCCAAGAAGAATTCCTGGTATTTGCCCATGCAGTAAGGTCCTATACACACTTATCTTACTCCAATGCTTTAGGCTAAATATAGAAATTGGTAATCTTATTTCATCGCTATAGGTTGATATAAGATGTAATATTACTCCATTTTTTGTCTACAGATGTTTAGTTTTTGGGTTCAAATAGCGTCAGAAAACGTAATTCAAACTCAAAAGTCGGCGTTTTGTTTACGTTTTTAGAAAATGGCGCGTGCGACGACTATGCATTCTGTTTTGGACTATAGGAATAAATTCACCCTATAGAAATACTTGTCTTCATATAAATTCCAAAGGTCATCATAAAATATTAATATGCTGACAAAAATATTCAGTTGAAGTATAAGATACTGCAAAATTCAAGCTTTGATCCGGGTCCTTACATTCGCAAAACCGGAACCGCTGAAAGGTGACTTCAGAGCGTTCTCAAGATATTTCATGCGCGCCCCGAGTGCTAATTGTTTTTGTGAGAACACCCATCGATATTCTTTCTTTGATACAACCATAAATGAATGAATGAGTACATTGATGGTTTGGTGATCCGATTTGAGTACCTTCACCTTAGGTTATATTAAGTGATAATTTTACTCCATCGCTCTATGTTAAATATGAGATGTGATAAACGTACTCAATCGCTACGAGTAAATGTAAGATAATCTTACTTCATCAATAAAGGTAAATGAGAGATAATCTCACTTCCTCGCTATATTTTAATTAATAGAACCCATTGCTACATGGATGAAATGTGAATGTGCCATATATTACTATCATATGAGTCTTTAGATTTTATTTTTATATAGATAATAAAACAAGTTTTAACAGATTATAATGTTTGTTTTATCCAGCCCTCTAACTTGACCACGCACGTTAACGTTGTTGCCCCATTTATGACAAGGGGACCAGGGACAAATTTTAGTGACACCGGGTCACAATGCTTCCATCCACTCGAGCCTGCTTCAATCTGCATTTGAGTTTAAATATCCATGTAGAGTTTACACGGGACAGTTGTTGGGATACAAAAAAACGTGTTGCTTGTTTATGAAAATTATCTATATTACCGTTTATGTATTTTCAAGTCCCTCGATATAATATCATTTCTTATGTGGTCATATTTCTAAATGTAGGTTATCGTAAATAGTTTCAAGTAACAGTAACTTAATACAAATATTCACTTGAGGAATATTATACAAAAAATCACTTGAGGAATATTATACAAATATTTACTTGAGGAAAATTATATATTTGTCTTGAATTGCAACATAAGAAAATAATCACAAAGTCCCGTAGACGTAAGATATTTGGATGTAGAATCTAATCTTTATGAATGGTTTTTATAGCATGAAATTAATTTTTCAGTTTGTTTAATGATAAAAAACGTGTTTTTCAATTACTAGTTTATTAATTGAGTCAGCTGAGGATAACACACTGGTACTGTAAGGGAGATGAAGATAAATCGCGTAAGAACAATAAATTAATACAGTCAATTAAAATTCAAAAGTCTAGCTCAACTACATCATTATTACAACATCAATATTGAGGTATGTGCTTGTTCGTGTATGTAACCGAACGTTTTCTTAGTCATACATTGTAATGTATAAATGATCCGGAGAATGATCACCGGCATGCGCTTTGAATATTAGTCACATCCGGATGTTATGCACTTAAGACGGCGGGAGAATGTGAATTGATTTCTAATTCAGCCATTGACATTATACAGGTATGTTTTGTGAAGAATGTCATTTTGTATAAAGGGATTCACTCTATAGGCTCTACATGTGATTCATTGTGTAAAAAGTAGTTATGTCAACATATATACATTGTACTTCCTGGCAAACACTTGAATGATTCATACACTGACCACACAGCACAGGGACCTGAGAATTTGTTACAGCTATATTGCGACCTAAACTAAGGTGTTCAGAGTAGTTTTACATGTTTTAGGGGTTTAAATCAACTTTCGGTAAAATTGACACACCAATGATCATATATATATATCCGTAGATGAACTAGAAATGTTGGTTTTTGATGCAAGAAAATTAGGTGGGGTCGACATTTCGACATCGAGAGCTTTCCTCCCTTCTCAAATATCCGTATATATGACCATTGGAGGTGTCATTTTTACCGAAAATCGATCTAACGTGTAAAATTAATCTGAACACCTTAGTTTAGGTCCAAATATAGCTGTAACAAATTCTCAGGTCCCTGTGACTGACAAGTTTAAAGTATTTAGTTTTCTGATTTTGAGAGTATGAAATAACCACCGTCAGGAAATCTAACACAAATTACAGAGAGGGCAAGTAGAGGGATGAACATAATAGCTACAACAACATAGTCTAAACTGAACGTAAGAAGTCTCAGTAAGTTACGTTAAGGTCCCGAGGCCCACACATTTCAGAAGCCCATTATATTTGTTGGAATATTGAATAAAATACTTTGATCTTCATAATGTTTAGGAACAAATCTATCTATAATAGAGCTTATTTCATTGACTGCATTTGGTTGCATGTGAATTTTCAAAGTATTCATGTTGAAGTTACTCAACTCTGCGTGTGGAAAACTCGGTCCAGAAACTCTCAAATATGAAAATCTTTCTATTTATTTCAAAACGTCTTTTTTCCCGAAGCTACACATTAATTGGAACAACTCGCTGCGGGGGGGGGGGGGGGGGGGGACTGTCCGCAGATGGAAAATAGTTAATCCTTTATTTAGAACACACAATTGTATATATAGATATTTTCAAGAATGTAAACTCGGACAACTGGGAGTAGACTTATTTAAAAGTGAATTTCCGGTATATGGAGTTCTTACTAGACAAAAGAGTGTTATTGGATGTGTCGTTTTATACGTAGCTATCTCTATCAGGGTAACTTGTATCTCTACCAGGGTAACTTGTATCTCTATCAGGGCTACTTGTATCTCTACCAGGGTTACTTGTAGCTCTACCAGGGCTACTTGTATATATCTCTATACCAGGGTTACTTGTAGCTCTATCATGGTTACTTGCAGCTCTACCAGGGTTACTTGTAGCTCTACCAGGGCTACTTGTAGCTCTACCAAGGCTACTTGTATCTCTACCAAGGCTACTTGTAGCTCTACCGGGGTGGATGTGTCGTTTTATACGTAGCTATCTCTATCAGGGTACCTTGTATCTCTACCAGGGTAACTTGTATCTCTATAAGGGTTAATTGTCTATCTATCAGGGTTACTTGTATCTCTACCAGGGAAACTTGTATCTCTACCATGGTTACTTGTATCTCTATCAGGGTTACTTGTATCTCTATCAGGGCTACTTGTATCTCTACCAGGGTTACTTGTCGCTCTACCAAGGCTACTTGTAGCTCTACCAGGGTAACTTGTAGCTCTACCAGGGTTACTTGTATATATCTCTATACCAGGGTTACTTGTAGCTCTATCATGGTTACTTGCAGCTCTACCAGGGTTACTTGTAGCTCTACCAAGGCTACTTGTATCTCTACCAAGGCTACTTGTAGCTCTACCGGGGTAACTTGTAGCTCTACCAGGGCTACTTGTAGCTCTACCAAGGCTACTTGTATCTCTACCAAGGCTACTTGTATCTCTCAGGGTAACTTGTATCTCTATCAGGGTTACTTGTATCTCTATCAGGGCTACTTGTATCTCTACCAGGGTTACTTGTAGCTCTACCAGGGTAACTTGTATCTCTATCAGGGTTACTTGTATCTCTATCAGGGCTACTTGTATCTTTACCAGGGTTACTTGTAGCTCGTTACTTGTATCTCTACCAAGGCTACTTGTAGCTCTACCCGGGTTACTTGAAGCTCTACCAGGGTTACTTGTATCTCTATCAGGGTTACTTGTATCTCTATTAGGGTTACTTGTATCTCTATCAGGGCTACTTGTATCTCTACCAGGGTTACTTGTAGCTCTACCAAGGCTACTTGTAGCTCTACCAGGGTAACTTGCAGCTCTACCAGGGCTACCTGTATATATCTCTACACAAGGGCTACTTACAGCTCTACCAGGGTTACTTGTAGCTCTACCAAGGCTACTTTTAGCTCTACCAAGGCTACTTGTAGCTCTACCGGGGTAACTTGTAGCTCTACCAGGGCTACTTGTAGCTCTACAAGGGCTACTTGAAGCTCTACCGGGGTTACTTGTAGCTCTACCAGGGTAACTTGAATATATCTCTATACCAGGGTTACTTGAAGCTCTATCAGGGTTACTTGTAGCTCTACAAGGGCTACATGTAGATTTACATGGGCTACTTGTAGCTCTACCAGGGCTACTTGTAGCTCTACCAAGGCTACTTGTAGCTCTACCCGGGTTACTTGAAGCTCTACCAGGGCTACTTGTAGATTTACATGGGCTACTTATAGCTCTACCGATGTTACTTGTAGCTCTACCAGGGTAACTTGTATATATCTCTATACCAGAGTTACTTGTAGCTCTATTATGGTTACTTGAAGCTCTACCAGGGTTACTTGAAGCTCTATCAGGGTTACTTGTAGCTGTACCGGGGTTACTTGTAGCTCTACCAGGGCTACTTGTATATATCTCTATACCAGGGTTATTTGTAGCTCTATCATGGTTACTTGCAGCTCTACCAGGGTTACTTGTAGCTCTACCAAGGCTACTTTTAGCTCTACCAAGGCTACTTGTAGCTCTACCCGGGTTACTTGAAGCTCTACCAGGGCTACTTGTAGATTTACATGGGCTACTTATAGCTCTACCGATGTTACTTGTAGCTCTACCAGGGTAACTTGTAGCTCTACCAGGGCTACTTGTATATACCTGTCTATCATGGTTACTTGCAGCTCTACCAGGGTTACTTGTAGCTCTACCAGGGCTACTTGTATCTCTACCGGGGTTACTTGTAGCTCTACCAGGGCTACTTGTAGCTCTACCAGGGTTACTTGTAGCTCTGCCAGGTTTTGTTGAAGCTCTACCAAGGCTACTTGTAGCTCTACCGGGGTTACTTGAAGCTCTACCAGGGCTACTTGTAGCTCTACCGGGTTTACTTGAAGCTCTACAAGGGCTACTTGTAACTCTACCGGGGTGGTTACTTGTAGCTCTAGGGCTACTTGTATATATCTCTATACCAGGGTTACTTGTAGCTCTATCATGGTTACTTGTAGCTCTATCATGGTTACTTGCAGCTCTACCAGGGTTACTTGTAGCTCTACTAGGGCTACTTGTAGCTCTACCAAGGCTACTTGTATCTCTACCAGGGCTACTTGTATATACCTGTCTATCATGGTTACTTGTAGCTCTACTAGGGATACTTGTAGCTCTACCAAGGCTACTTGTAGATCTACATGGGCTACTTGTAGCTCTACCGGTGTTACTTGTAGCTCTACCAGGGTAACTTGTATATATCTCTATACTAGGTTTACTTGTAGCTCTATCATGGTTACTTGAAGCTCTATCAGGGTTACTTGTAGCTGTACCGGGGTTACTTGTAGCCCTACCAGGGTTACTTGAAGCTCCACCAGGGTAACTTGAAGCTCTACTCGGGTTACTTGTAGCTCTGCCAGGTTTTGTTGAAGCTCTACCGGGGTTACTTGTAGCTCTACCAGGGTAACTTGTAGCTCTACCGGGTTTACTTGAAGCTCTACAAGGGCTACTTGTAGCTCTACCGGGGTTACTTGTAGCTCTACCTGGGTAACTTGTATATATCTCTATACCAGGGTTACTTGTAGCTCTACCAGGGCTACTTGTAGATCTACATGGGCTACTTATAGCTCTACCGATGTTACTTGTAGCTCTACTGGGGTTACTTGTAGCCCTACCAGGGTACTTGTAGCTCTACCTACCAGGGCCACTTGTAGCTCTACTGGGGTTACTTGTAGCCCTACCAGGGCTACTTGTATCTCTACCAAGGCTACTTGTAGCTCTACCGGTGCTACTTGTAGCTCTACCTACCAGGGCTACTTGTAGCTGTACCATGGTTACTTGTAGCTATACCACGGCTGTTTGTAGATCTAGTAGATCTACCAAGGCTACTTGTAACTCTAACAAAGCTACTTGCTATCAGGGTTACTTGTATCTCTACCAAGGCTTCTTGTATCTCTACCAGGGTAAATTGTAGCTCTACCAGGGATACTTGTAGCTTTACCATGGTGACTTGTAGCTAAACCAGGGCTGTTTGTAGATCTAGTAGATCTACCAAGGCTACTTGTATCTCTACCAAGTCTACTTGTATCTCTACCATGGTAACTTGTAGCTCTACCGGGTATACTTGAAGCTCTACCAAGGCTACTTGTAGCGTTACTTGTATCTCTATTAGGGTTACTTGTATCTCTACCAAGGCTTCTTGTATCTCTACCAGGGTAAATTGTAGCTCTACCAGGGGAACTTGTAGCTCTACCGGGGCTACTTGTAGCTCTATCATTGTTACTTGTAGCTAAACCAGGGCTGTTTGTAGATCTAGTAGATCTACCAAGGCTACTTGTAGCTGTATACCAGGGTTACTTGTATCTCTACCAGGGTTACTTGTATCTCTACCAGGGTAAATTGTAGCTCTACCAGGGTTACTTGTAGCTCTACCAGGGCTACTTGTAGCTTTACCATGGTTACTTGTAGCTAAACCAGGGCTGTTTGTAGATCTACAAGGGTTACTTGTAGCTCTACCATGGTTACTTGTAGATCTACCAAGGCTAGTTGTAGCTCTACGTGGGTTACTTGTAGCTCTACCAGGGCTACTTGTATATATCTCTATACCAGGGTTACTTGTAGCTC